AGAAAAGCAAGACCAAGATCCCATTTTTCTTGAAATTGAAGGTAAATGTTCACAAGCAAAAAGTAATGGCTTTTGAACAAGGGGGAGATGGTGTATTTAGGTATCAAGGTAGGTTGTGTGAACCAAGGGTGGATGAACTCCAAGAGTGGATAATGGAAAAAGCTCATAGCTCCAGATATTCCATTCATCCGGGTTCCACAAAGATGTATCGTGATTTGAGAGAAGTGTATTAGTGGAGCAGTATGAAGAAGGGCATTGTAGAATTTGTTGCCAAATGTCCAAATTGCCAACAAGTACAAATAGAGCATCAAAGGCCTGGTGGTTTGGCTCAGAATATAGAGATTCCAGAATGTAAGTGGGAGATGATCAATATGGACTTCATCACAAGTTTTCCAAGGTCTCAAATGCAACATGATTCTATTTGGGTGATTGTCAATAGAATGAAAAAATTAGCTCACTTTTTGCCAGTAAGACTACCCATGCAACAAAAGATTATGTTAAGCTGTATATTCAAGAGGTGGTTAGACTTCATGGGGTTCCGGTCTCCATCATTTTAGACAGAGGTGCGTAATTTACTGCATAGGTTTGGAAGTCATTCCAAAAGGCTTGGGTTTAAAGGTGAATTTAAGTACTGCCTTTCATCCTCAGATAGATGGGCAAGCAGAGCGCACTATTCAGACCTTAGAGGACATGTTGAGGGCTTGTGTGATTGACTTCAAAGGTAATTGGGATGAACACCTACCTCTCATTGAGTTCTCTTACAACAATAATTACCACTGTAGCATCCAAATGGTTCCTTATGAAGCTCTTTATGGGAGAAGATGCAGATCTCCTATTGGATGGTTTGAAGTTGGTGAAGCAGGGTTGATAGGACCAGACTTAGTGCATCAAGCTATGAAAAAGGTGAAAGTTATTCAACAGAGATTGAAAACAACCTAGAGTCATCAGAAACCTTACACTGATGTTAGGAGGAGGGAGTTAGAATTTGAAGTAGATGATTAAGTATGAGATTTGGTAAGAAGGGGAAGCTTAGTCCCTGATATATTGGCCGTTACAGAATATCCAAAAGGTTTAGTAATGCAACTTACGAGTTAGAGCTACCCCAAGAATTGGCAGCGGTTCATCCAGTATTTCACATTTCCATGTTGATGAAGTGCATGATAGATCCTTCACTTATCATAACAACTTAAGATATTGGCATCAAGGATAAGTTATCTTATGAGGATATTCCGATTCAGATTCTAGATCGCCAAGTTCTTAATTTGAGAGCAAAAGAGGTAGCATCAGTCAAAGTTCTTTGGAGGAACCAATTTGTTGAGGAAGATATTTGGGAAGATAAGGAAGATATGAAGGAGAGATACCCACATCTCCTTGAAACCAGAGAAATTCCAGACCAAGGTACTAATTCTCTTTTTAGTACTCTTTAATTTATGAGTTGGCATGTTGTATTGCAATGTTTGTTGGGTGTTTGAGCTGAATGTTAGATGTTACACCCTTAGCCTAGTAAGAGTAATCTCATTCAAGGACGAATGTTCCGAGGGGGAGATATTGTAACATCTCGCTAATTGAAGGAACTGGAAAGAAGTTAAAATTTGGAAATAGTCATTTTTGGAAAGAATATAAAAATCAAGAAAATTTGTTAAGTATGTTAAGTTGAGTTTTTGGTCAACTTGAAACGACCATAACTCCTAGATAAGGATGATTTAGGTGTGTTTCTAGATATCCTAGGAAATATCTTGGATTAATCTTTCCAATGCCGCCAAGTTTGCGCGATTCCAAGTTTGTATGAGTGAGATATGCCCACTTGAAGTTGGGCTGCTCAAATAAGGAAAGTCTAAACCGGATTTTGGAGGGGAATTTTGGTCTTTACCATACCCAATTTGTTTAATTCGTTTTTGGTAATAACTTAGGGGTCTAAACTGAACTTGGTCAGTTTATGCTTTTGAAAATTAAGTTAGGGTTTTGAGATAAGAGAAAAGAAGAGGAGAAAAGAGGAGAAGAAGTAAGATTCGTTAAGATCGTTCAAGTTTGATTGTGGATTTCGTCAAGGATTTCATCCTACAAGGTATGTGAGTCTTTCATAGCGTTGGGATCGTTCACCCACGCGCCAATCATGTTTATTTCAGCAAAATTCGTTCTAGAAAGTTGAAAGTTGATGAATCTTGAATGGTGTTCTTGAAATTTGCCTTCGTTCTTGAGTTAGGTTGAGATTGAGGAGTTCCTTGAGGTTATAATGTTTCTTCCTTAAGTTTTTTGAGTTAGATTCTTGTGTATACATACTGGGTATCTGAATCTAAAGAGAATTTGAAAAAAAAAAGCGTGTTTAGGCGAATTTGGGCTAGAAAAATGAAGAAGGAAAAAGTTGGGCAAATCTGGTGTCCCATGCCGCGTCGCGGACCTATCCCCCTATTTTCGCAAAATTCTTCCTCGCATCACGGAGCGGTCATGGACCGTTCTGCCTCAAAAATTATATTCGCAACCAAAATTTCTTGTTGGGTACCGTGTTGTTGGTACTCACTCCTTGCTTATACACTTGTTCAGGTTCCGAGCGCAATATAGCTTGATTGTTCTTTCTCTCCCATTTCCAAGGCTTGTCAAGGACCTGTTGAGAGGTAGTTGCTTGTCATCCCGGCGGACCCTCTATTTCTTCTTTTAATGCTTTGTTCTAATTGAGAAATAAAAACTTCAGACTTGTACTTATTTCTTAATTCTGCACTTTATGTATTAGTGGTTTGTACACGTAACAACCAGGTTTTGGGGTGTTAATAAAATGAATAAGTTTTCTGCTTTTATCTTGTTCGTGCTTTATCTTTCTACATTTCTTTCGATTCTTTTGGGTTGAGGCTAATTTGTCTTAGTAAGGATAGACAAGTGTCATCACGTCCATTTTTTAGATTGTAACAAAATCACCCAGTATAAATCTATACACCTACGAAGAATTATAGGGATCTTAATATATAAATTTTTGAGGTGTTTAGCAAATATTGATGTCTTGGAGCAATAACGTAATTGTCAGAAAAATATAATAGGAAATAAAAATTGAAGAAGAAGAAGAAGACTTTGAGGCATGTAATAGCTTTCTTTAAAGAGATATTGCATGCATACATATTGAGAAAAATACAAACAAATCCCTTCAGAATACAACAAAGCCCTATGTTTATACATGCAAATTTTTCTTAGGCTATTTCTAGAGAATATTTATATTTATAGAAGTTAAGAGTTCACTTTTCATAAGATTCATGTTCTTTCATGATCAATTAACTTTTCGTATGAGTCATGTTCTTTCATGAACAAATGTCTTTTCACAACAATCATATTTTTTTCATGAAAAAATATCAGTGCATCGTCCCATCATAATGCAATAATATGTCATTATTTAATATTTAATAAATAGTAATCATATTCCATATTATATATATTCTATACAAGTTCGAGTGTCTACTTGTGCACAGTCAAAGTGGAGGACATAAATATAAAAGTTAATTAAAAGGGCATCTTTATGTATTATGTCAATTGGTCAAACATCTTTATCATTATCTTTTGGTAAGTGAGTAGAAAATAACTCAAAGTTTACTCATTTCGCCTTCCAATCTAGAGAAAACTTGTAGTATATATAGCTACTACTAATCATAATTTTCAGACCATTCTAAATTTGCTTCACTAAGTTAATCATGTAGTTGTATTCTTGAGTCTTCCCATTGATTTCTTCAAGTACTAAGCAAGACGTGTTGTCATTCTATGTAAGTAATTTATGTGATAATTAATTCTTCATTTTTTTTTTACCTTTTTTGTTCCTATTTTACAAGATTTTTGTAAATTCATTAAATTAATTACCCCATATATACCTTGTATGTCTGCATTCTAAACATCAGCATTTAATGATCTCCAAGTCTAATGCTTTTTATTTTGTGGAGAGTTAACAAGGTTGTTTTTTGTTGATTTATAGATCTTATAATTAAGTTATCAATGTAACTTTTGTGATATATGGAATATTTTTGGGGAACATCTTATAAAATAATAAATAGTTCAACATGAGTTTAAGATGCGAAAATAAAGAGTTTTTTCGAGATCTTTGAAACTCTTTTTCATCTTTAATTAGATCTTTGAAATTATTTTTCATCTTTAGTCAAAGATATTTGAAATTTGTTTATGGACACGATGAAATATAAATTGAAATATATGGGCTTTCAAATTTTTAGGTTTCATGAAAAAAAGAATATTTTGATAAAAAGTGTTTTCTGTTTTTAAAATATCATTTGGTGTGAATTTAGAAAATATTTTTCTACCATCCTTTTCTTGAAAATTTTTCATTTACGATTTATTTTATCACCCTTTTCTCTTTCCTTTTTGTTATCCATAGGCCTCAACTGAATTTGTCTCTTGTGGACTAACAATAATAACAACTATGTGTTAACCCTAGATAAATTTGAATTGACTACATGAATATTCACTAATTTTGCTATTTGGTATAAGCTCAACATAAATAATTAACTAATACGATATGATTTTTTTTCTATATTTTTCGTCTAATTAGATGTTTTAGATATGACTTACGACACTTCTAAAAAGCATTAGACCTAACTTAAATTTGTTATAATGACAGATGTAGATAGGTGAATTGAGTTTGATTTGTATTTTTTAAATAATTTTTGAAGTCTTCATTGGTAAAAACATATATAGTAATGGAAATGGAGTTATTCTATAGATTCATAATTACTAACTACTACCACATTTCACGATAACTAGACGCTCCATTTATGTTACTACATGAGTTTAACTCTTTCTGAATATATATTTGCTTCAATAAAATATTTTTTTCACTTCCTTGTGCAATATATTTGGAACCAAATAATTCTCTTGTTCTAGTATCTTGATATGTTGTTTCTTTTCATTTGCAATTATTTGCAATCAAATATTTTTTTAATTCTGGTATTATATGATCACATATGCATGATATTGAGTTGAACTGATACAATCTTAAATTTGTTCAGAAATAAAAGATGGAAGGTCATAGTGACATGAATGAGAGAAAAGAAAGTTTGATTAATGTTGTGATAGGAGGATCTGGAGAAGAAGAAATACAGAGAAGTTCTATCGGTGACAAGATAACTGGTGGTGCATATGTAGATGAACGTGGTGAATCATCATCGAAGAGGAAGAAACCCATTAGGCATAATGTCGATCAGATTCAAGAGCTTGAAACGTAAGTATAATTCTAACTTATTTTGTACTTGTTTATTTGCTTATGTTAATTTTGATATTTTGATCATTGTTTATTTTATACCAATGGGAATAGGTTTTTCAAAAAGAATTCACTTCCTAACAAAAAAGTAAGACTAGAACTTGCAACAAAATTATCCATGGACATCAACCAGGTGCAAAATTGGTTCCAGAATAAAAGAACCCAAATGAAGGTGATGCATATCATATTTCTTTCCCTTAATTTATGTTTTTCTTATGTGAAATTTGTATAATTGAATATAAAAATGAATTGTGTTATTTTATCAGTTGCAATTGGAATTGTACAAAACTAAAACTCTGAAGCAAGAAAATGACAAGCTTCGCATAGAGAATATTGTAATGAAGGAAGCCCTGGTAAATTCAATTCGTGACAATTATAAAGAAAACATTGATGAGAATCAAATAAAGATTGAGCATGACCAATTGGAAGATGAAGTTAAAAGGCTTACCACCCAAGCGTACAAATTAAGCTTATTTAATAAAGATGTAGTGCAGGATAAGATGGTGTTAATTGAATCTTGCTATGGATGCCTTGAATGAGCTTTTTAGGCTGTATGAGAATGATAAACCTCTTTGTGTAAGCAGTTTGGATGGAGGTGGAGAAACGTTAAATATTAAGGAATATGCTCGATTGTTTACCCTTTTAATTGGCACGAAACCTGAGCATTTCACAACGGAAGCCACAAGGGCATCGGGTACAGTGGCTGACACCAGTTTGGCATTGGTACGTTACTTTTATTGTATTTGACATATCTTTTTATTAGTTTTTTTAGTGGTTCTTCAATTAGGTGTTGCATATTATTTTAATCAATCAAATTTAACTTCAAGTGATGAAGACAAGTATGTGTTGACATGTTATATTTTTATTTTTGTTATGTACTGTATTGTATATATGCAGAGGCAGTGGGTAGAGATGTTTGCATGCATTGTTGGGAAAACATATACTACTGATGTGATTTCCACTGGCATAGGTGGAAATAAGAGCGGTTCTCTGTTATTGGTATTTCTATTTACTTATTATTTTTATGAAAATTACATATCTTATTTATTTTATCATTCCATGCACTAACAACTTGAAAGTAATGATTTGCAGATTAAAACCGAATTGCAAATTATTTCTGACCTAGTTTCTGTTCGCGAAGTACAATTTCTTCGCTTCTGTAAGAAACATGTTGAAGGTGTCTGGGCTTTCGTCGATGTGTCTGTTGACACAATTCAAGAAGGTTCACAAGAGAGTGAAATTGAAAATTGTCGAAGGCTCCCATCTGGCTGTATTTTACAAGATATGCCAAATGGTTATTGCCAAGTAATTCAAAATAAATTGTCTTTTTATTTTGCATTTCATAGGCCTTTATATTTTTTTATATTCAATGAGCTAGATAGCTCATATTTTATTAATTTTATTCTTGTTGATTTATTTTTATTGATTTTTTAATAATACAATCTATGTATTCATTGTAGTGCTTTGTTCTCTATCT